GATATGGAGTATTAAAAAAAAGCCACCAAATTTGGTATTGTACTAACTATAAACAAAGTGAAAAAATGTGACATGTAATAAGTGTGACAGTAACGTGACAAAACATCTAAAATTACATGTTAAATTCTAAATACTCGAGTATTATTTAATACTTTAGTCTTTAGTTTATATCATATTTATGACGTAAGATATTTAATAAGACAGTAATGAACTTTGCCTTTTTCATCAGCTAGAATTTATATATAAGTTATATATCAAAGTGTTTTATTAAGCAACTTGTTCACCATCTTAGTTCGCTCTTATGTAGTGAAAATATTGATATTGTCATACGAGACATTTATGGTTCGTTTCGAACAATGATACAAAAAAGACATTTGCAAAGATTGTATTTGTAAAGTTTGTCATGAAAATGTAGTTGAATCTGATTACCATTTTTTATTTGCGAAAAAAATATATCTAGGTAACCAGGGAAACACATGTCATGTCAGAGCAAATTAAATCACTAATTACATGTATACTGAATTAGCCAAAGGCATTATATATGCCATTTTGCAGAATGAAAACTGAAACTGAAATAATGGTAATTCGCGACAATGGATGTAATTATCGCTGTCTATGTTTATAGTTAAGCCTACACGAAATGTTCGCCATTGGTCTGTCACGAATAAGGAATTTTAAATCTGGTTCGTTCCGGAATAAGAAAGTTGTCTATGACATGACTTCTTCAAAAGAAAGAAAGAAAGATTTCATTTTGTTTACTTCAATGACCTACAAAATTAAAAACACAAGTAAAATTAAAGAGAAAAATAACTGTTAGAAAGAGTGACAGCAAAAACAAAATCTATGAATATTATTGATATTGTTTGGTACAAATTATTCAATTTATTTAATAACCTCTACGTATGGTCAATTAATGACCACATATGGTCAATTAATGACCTTGCCTACCATAATCTAAAATTGATAAGCCGAGGTGTATAGTATGTGGCCTTCCCGCATAGATGTATGTACGAGTCTTATGCTATCTGGTACATAGGTGTGTCATTAATCTTTTGAATAATGTGATGGCCAAAGAGCCAATTCATTTAGCTCTATAATACATATGTAAAACTTTAAAGAGTTTATAAAGTTTTACTAAACTTTTACTTGTTTATATGATAGTGTAGCGCTGAAGTAGCAGAGAGTTATCAAGTTTGTACAGAAGGAAATGATTGAAAAATTAGGCAAGATCTTTTTTATATTGTGGTCACGAGATAATAAATAAGGACATGGCTATTATGTGCTTTCGTATAAAACTTTTTTAAAGAATTTTAAGAATTTCTGTGTACTTAAACATGTCTTTGCAAAAATTAGATTCATCTGTGTATATTTATTATTGTAGCAATGTTAAGAGAACATGCATTGTATATACAAGTAACTTAAATATCATAAAATTATGTTCAGAAAATTACAGAAGATTTGAAACGTCATTCATTAATAAAGAGAAAAGCAGCTAATGCAGTATTGCAATTTGTATCGATTTTTCCTGGTCATCTCATCAGGAATAATCTCTCAAGGAGAATAACGAGTTATTTATGACCCAGAAAATTCATGCCAGCTCTCTGATGTTGCTGAATTTACTTGCAAAAATACATTAATAAAACATGAAAAACATCCTCAATGCTATTATGCCTGGAAGAACAATTAATCAGTACTTAGTTATATTGAAGTAAAATAGAGAAAAACAGAATACCTAAAGAAAAGCCCAAAACGGCAAAATTGAAAATGTTGCAGGCTCGGTTTTGATTGAGCCTGTTCATGGACGGTAGTGGTATTTGTAAGCTACCGTTTACGCCCCCTAGCACCGGCTTAAGCAGAATTCAACATGAACTGGTGACATTTTGAATTTTTAAACATGTGTTCATATCTTCTTTAAACTTTAAGAAAATATTTTCTGTAGAATAATTATCATAACTTCGGTGATCAATTTTTTCTTGGAATTTGTAATGTTATGAGTCACAACACTATTGATTTATTAATTGCTAAAATTGCAACTTCTTTATATCTATAAATAACTTGCATCATTCAACATCTTCAAGTTAAACTGTTATACTTGACTAAGTTTATGAATTTCTTGGGGAAAAACAACTTGTTAGTTTCTACAAACAATTTACTGACGAATTAACTAATAATATAAAATATGAATAGAAAAGACATTTTGCTAGACTTTTTCCTATTTTAAATTTAATTATTTGCATATCTAAGTGTTGAATATTGCTGTTGCCGCTTGTATTTGGCTTTTGCAAGGTTTTAATTTTTCTCTAATGACGAATTTTTTACGAGATATTACTTAATCAATAGTACTATTCTTCTTTGTCATTGTCCAGGCCGGTCATCCTGTTTTGCTGGGTTTTGTTGGGTGCTGCGGCTGTCCTTTGTTGGTGTTTCATTTTATATGTTCAAGTATGTAAACTGCTGTTCTCGTTCAGAGCCCCACTGTGTACCTTTCCACGAGTCAAGTATTGCCGGATATTGCCGAGGGCTTGGTGTGCACGTTGCTATCCCGTGTTGATCAATGTTCTCAGATTTCAGCGGAAAAATAAACTTTTTATACACTACATGTCTGTTTATTTTTATTCTTATTCTACACTGTCCTCTGGTTATACATGTTTGTCCTGTCCTTAGAGGAGTGGTGCTTGATTTAGAGTATAATTCTAATCATGCAGTGATGGAATGACGAGATATATATCCCGGAATTAATCAAAATATACAGTCCGGTCCCTTGATAACATTAATATTCACTGTCAGAAAAAAAATCAACGATTCTCTGGTGTAATATATAAAACCTAGAGTTTGTATGTGTTAATGCACCTATCATGATAAGTTGACATTCGTTAGAGAAAATTCTTCTCAAAACTATTAGAGAAAAACGGAATCCCTAAAGAACGCCCAAAACGGCACAATTGAAAATGTTGCAGGCCTGATTTGATCTAGCCTGTTCATGGCCTGATTACGACTTTTTACAAACAGTTGGCGCTTGATGGCATTTAACTACTACAGTCCATGAACAGGCTCAATCAAACCGATCCTGTAACATTTTCAGTGTTGCAATTTTGTGGCTTTCTTTAGGTTTTTTTTTATTCTATTATAGACGAGGTGGTAACAAGTAATAAGCAGATCGTTTAGATGTTGAATATTGTAAAGGGATGTGTTTGTCAGATAATGATATTTTGATACCATTTTCGGCCGCAGGTTCTTTGTATTTAACATGACTTCCGTAAACTAACGGGCTAATGCCCATTCTTTTCACCGGTACTTGCCGGACAGTTATTTGTTCAATATTATCAGAAATTACGTTTTGTTACTTTGTCCTCAGGTGTTGGAATATGATCAGTTATCGTGTATTCTTGATCTATTGACAGAGGTCGTGCACAATTGTATGATAAGGCAATGCCTTGGTCGGTGTAATATTTAGATAGAGAGTTTTATTAGAGTTCTACATTTGGTACAAAGATATAGAAAATGGTACAATGTCATTTAACGCCAACGAACCTATTCTTAAATATAGGAGAGTCGAGAGATAATTATTTCTATTGCGTGTTATTTTACAAGCGTGGTGTGATTTGTTTTATATAATAATTGTTACATGAATAAATGTAAATGTCTTGTAAGTTCACGATTTGTAACTTGAAACTGTTAAAAAAATACGGGCTGAATCTTTATATTTTTGATTATAAAATATATCTATGATAGAATTGAATTTACGATGCTATAAAATGCGTTTATTACAGAAACATGCGAGTTTACTGTTGTTGATTTAATACCACTTTATATCGGCATAAAACTTCAATATTAAAGGTTTATAATGCCAGTGACTGCGCTTCACCTTTCAAACATATAAATATCAAAATTCTAAAATAATGAGTCCCTCACGTTATATAACCCGGATGTGCCGGCTGGCCTGATTTAAACTGCTAATCACTACTGTAATATTAGAGAGAGCATTAAGAAGGAGAAACAACACTAGATAAAAAAACGATATTTTAAGTAACCCATCTGGCACGAAATATCAATGTCATAAATGCAATAAAAACCTTTCAGAACTATATTTCTACAGTATCATTAATATGCAAAGAGGAAATTTTTTTATGCGCGGATATGACATATTGCAATATGATATATTAGTTCACTTACGACCAAGCTTTTAGAGATTTGATACCTTGGCATAAGAAGTTTCTAATTAACGCTGTTTGTCAGTCTATCCATATGACAATATCCTTCTATTTTACAAAGAGATGTATTCAGGTTAAAATCACTCCTTTAGAACGGTATTTAGTTACGTAACTTACGTTAATGAATCTGTTGTAATGGGAAGAGCATAGAGGTAATTGTCCTTTTCTCCGATTAGTTGGATGTCGTAAAAGATAAAAAAAAACAAATCGAATGAAAGAGGAGACCCTTTTAATAAACAAGAGTTTTAATCCGTTAATATTATTAAATATGTATATACTTTATACTCTATTGGCTACATGAATTCAAAGAGTTGTTGCAAAATACGTGTAAGGTAGTGTGGTATGTTTTTTATCTTCTTAAAACATAACTATTGTAAAGTCTGAGCTGTGTGTTTTGTATGGTCAAGTTTGTCTGTAATTACCATCCCTTGAGGAAGGAGATAATGGTCTTGCTTTATACAGACGATTTAATTTCTTCAAGCATTCCTTCAACACAGATCGTCTCAAAATCCCATAAAACGGTATTTGGTAGTACATACATTTACTAATGGTCTATAAACGTTGGAATTACTATTACAGTTTTAATCTTCTAGGAGTAGCAGGTATTCTTCATGGCAGGTTCAACTGTTTAGGTTTTTTTGTACGTTTTATCATCTATTACGCTATTTCTTTCTTTCTTTTTTTTCTTTCTTTCTTTCTTTCTTTCTTTCTTTCTTTCTTTCTTTCTAAGACCCCCCCAAACAGCTATCGTTTGTCATAATCAAAATAAGTTTGTTGCTATGTTTACAGAGCATGGTTGATGACGATGGACTACGTGCAGAAGTTCGACATTGAGTTAGACAAGGAGATATATTACGCGGGAGAATTGGTATCTGGGCGCGTGATTGTCATAACAACAGAGAATATCAAGGTGAAAGGTAGGTCGACAGCCCGAACTTACAAGAATACTAGTATATTATTAATCATGTGATCACACCATATACATGAATAATCCCAGGCTCTTTTCCATGATTTAAGGTCGTTTGGAATTCATTTTCGTAACTATAAAACTACATTGAATATAAGGTTGGTTCGGATTATTCCTGGCAAATAAGAGAAAAGTGCTGGATATGCACGAACTTTAAATTTTGAAATGAATTAATTACTTACAAAAACAAATCTTAACATGTTAAACCATTATGCCGGCTCGCCACGGCGAGCCGGTATTACGGTAGGATTTTACTGAGAAACAACCTAAAACTCCGAAGCTATCCAAAAATTTAATCGAAGCTTGGCTTCCAGCTTTCTACAAAATTTATCTATCAGGGCTAGGATCCAAAATTATTTAGCCAATCAAATTTAATCTTACATAGCGTCAAAAAACCTTCAATTTTCACGCCATTTTTAAAAATCAGCAAGTTTTGTTTTGAGCGCAAAGATATAATGATGATTAAAATGTTTGACTTTATGAATTCTTTTCAATAAATCATATTTACACTGACTTCTGATTTAGCGATTTCACCTGTTTTCTCTGTAGTAAGTTTTCGTTTGGTTAATTAACATAAGTGTACATCTGGTTCTGTGCATTTTTTATTTTTCCTTTTTTCCGGTCATTTTATCCTTTCCAGTATTTAGTGTATGTATTTACTGGCCGGGATCCGGAACGCCCGGGATCCGGGATCGTATAAGATATGGAGGAAAAACCTAATGAACTATATTTGTGTTGATGTTTGTCGTAATGAAAGGCCATTAAACGTTATTTTTTTATATTGTATATAATGAACGTTAAATTAATTTAACTTAGAATATAGATATATTTAGAGCTATTTATTAACAAACTTAAAATGCGGAAATCACAATACTTATAATTATATGCCTAATTAATTGGAAAAATCAAAGACTATTTTCTTGAATTGGTCAAATCCCGGGATCCCTATATGTTTTAAAACGATCCCAGCTTTTCTGAAAACTATATACTTGAACTGGCCAATCCGTGAGATCTATTTACATTTTAATACGATCCAGGCTTTTCTGAAAACTATATTCTTGAACTGGTCAATTCCCGGGATCCCTATATGATTTAATAGGATCCCGGCTTATCTGAAAAACATCTTCTTAGACTGGTCAATTTCCGGGATCCCTATATTTTTTAATAGGATCCCGGTTTTTCTGGCTGAATTGATTGACAACTTGTGTTTACTTTAGGACTTGTGCCTCTCATTCCAATACTAAATAACATACATGTATTACAACTTAATTTTGTATAAAGAGACATCTTTATGAAATCTACCTATCTAACATTTTGTGGTCAAGGTCAACAGGCCATATAGTAAATGTGCATAGACATAGGTTCTTCATTCTATCTGTTTACATGCACCTTCATATATACTCATACTCATCTTGGTTAAACTGAGAGAACTTTATATGTCACTTTCAGTCAATGAGTTTAAGATTTTGAATTTACTGGCCCGAATTCCAGTTTTGAATTTATTCTACTAAATAATTAACAAAATTTTCTTAAATTTACACTGGCCTGAACTTATATACACTGGCCATCGGGCACCGGGCCAGTGTTGACTTCACTTTTATTTTGATGTTCGCTGAAGTCTCTTCAGCTAACAGAACTGTCATTTTTACATTTAAACACACCCCTTGAAAAAAATTACGAAGCGAGTCGCTACTAGCTTTTTTAAAAGCTAACCTTGTATAAACTATGCTAATTACGTGACACTCCACCCCTTATTCCCCGGTTAGATAATGTGAATCATTTTTCATTAAATTAAATATTTTTGCCTTGATCGTTAAATTTTACCGGAAAAAGTCAGTTATCATGTTCAATAGCTTACATGATAAATTTTTACACAAATATTCTCTTGATCAAAGAAGACGGATATAACAATTGCAATATTACCTTCATGTATCAAATTTATATAGAAAAGAAAAGTTGTATCTTCGTATATATCCGCAATGTTAACACTAGTGTCGCGAAACAGAGCCGACATTATCCGGGTACCTATCCTGGTGATATCATATAAAGATGTTTCAAATGCTTCAGAAAGGTATTGCTCAACATTTCTCATGTTTTATATGAGCACATGTTTGTTATCAAATGACATAAAGCAAAAAATGACAATATCATAAATCTATCTTAGAAAATCATCAGTTCGCGCCTGTTCGCCTGTTCTCATTTGCTCTCGTGTGTTCTCGTGTGTTCTCGTCTGCTTTTGTCAGTTTTCGTCATCTCTGTTTCATGTTACATGTATTTCAGCACCATTTATTGTGGTATTAATTACAAATCTAGTTCTTTAACGGACAAATGTTAACATAACATTTCCATAAATTGGAGCTCGATCCAGATTTCGTCATATATCAATTTACTTGACATTTCCATTGAAAAATTCCATGATCCCGTTGTAATTGTTTCTTTCCTTTCTATATAAGGAAAATGTTGACAATGATAAATAATCAAAAATTGAATTTACTTGACTTAAATATATTTTATTATTATACTATTGGGACATTGCTGAGCTATGTAATAAATCACTTTTAACTTTAGTAGATGTATCTTAACCCTAGTCAACTCATTAATGGTTTCCTCTTGTTAACTATCTATGTTTCTTTATGTGTTTGATATTTCTATCGTTAAAAAAAGAGGATTATTTCAGATTACGATTCTTTTCCAGTAATGGCTTATTGTTCTGTATTGTTTTGCTTTTTCTAATACATAATCGAATTTTTTACCGAAAATTTAAACTTCCGCAATCAGTTTTAATTACCATGTTATTTCGACGAAGAACTGTTAATGAAGTTTTTGTTCCAGGTATTAGATTAACACTTCGAGGGAAGGCACATACGGAATGGAAAATAAATAAAGCTGGGGAAACTCGAACGTTAAAAGATGACGAGTATTATATAGACGACAAAAGGGTGCTTTGGGGAAAAGGTGAGTCGCTTAATAATGTTTGTAATGCATGTAATTTATGGGGTCGCAAATAATAATTGGAAATAAAACGACAAAAGGGTGTTTGGGAAAAAACGTATGTCGCCTAATAATGTTTTTAATTGGGTTACACATAATAATTGGGGGAAAAGACATAAGAGTGCTTTGAGGAAAGGTGAGTCGCAAAGAAATATTTTCAATTAATGTAATTTATTGCGTCTCAAATAGTTAATGGAAAGAAAACGACAAAAGTGTGATTGGGGGAAATATTAGACCCTAAATAATGTTTTCAATTCATGTAGTTTATGGCGTCGGAAATAATTAATGTGAAGAAAACAACAAAATTGTGCTTTGTGGAAAAAAAAAAGATTCTAATGCGTGTAAAATATGGGGTCGCTAATAATGGTTAAAGAAAAAAGCTAAAAGGGTGCTTTGAGGAGAAGGTAGATTGTTATGAAGTTTAATTTGGCTGCTTAAGCTTATTGGTCTCGGTAATCGTATAATTCTTTAAGGAGTTGACAGGGTCTCAAGTAACGTGTATAAATTTAAAAATGAAAATTTACGGGGTTGCAAATATGCTCATTTTGTGGAACGTTGTTCACGCAATTCGTGGTAACTTGTCATTGGGACATGTGAACTTCTCTTTTCAGCGTGTTTACATGTCAAGACATAATGTTGACTTGTCTAAATAACATCTGAATATGTCAATGTGCCATGTGATATTGTTAAAATAACGCTTTATTATGTTAAAAGAACATGTGAACTTCTCATAACATCGTATTAATGTGTTAAATGACATGTTGACTTGTCTAACTACCATAAAGACAGCTGTGGCGTTCCATATGAAAACGCTTATATTTTGTTGATTAAATATTATGTGTACGGGTAAGGGGTAATGTGCTCTGAGGTTTGTTTGGCAAAAACAGTATTTATTTGAGGAAGGTACGTAGTTAATAAAACCTTATCACCAGAAAGAAACTATTGGAGATTTAACTGTTTTCATTTTCCCATTATAACGAAGATGTATTATATTAGTAACCAATATATTGTAAATGACTTTTACGAATACATACTTAGATGGCACAGAACTCAGTTGTTGTAATTTTTGGGCCCATACAAGAGGAAATGATTACGTTTGAGAGCGATTTATCGACTTTTAAAAGAAAGAAAAAACCAATTCAGAATACTATTAGAGAAAATGTTTTATTACACGCAAACAGTGTTTCTATATAAATTTGTTTTTAAAAAGTTTTAATTTGATACGAAACGGGCATTCATTTAATATTTGTTTCAATTTATTATATATTTTTTACTTTTTAGATAAAAATGAAGATATTGCTATTACTCCGATTTTACCACGGGGTCAGCATACCTACAGTTTTGAGTTCAAACTACCAGAAACTGCGTTGCCTTGCTCATTTGAAAGTAAAATAGGACATGTTCGTTACTACTTACGTGTTGTCATGGATATACCGTACGCATCCCCTCCACAAGGCATCAAGTATTTTACCATCATAGGACCTCATATTGACTGCATGGAAGACAAATATCTAGTATGTTTAAACATTTTCTTGATATAACATCATATCATATCATATCATATATTATCATATCATATTTTATCAATTCATTTTATTAGCTAGATTTTTTTTCTTAAATAAAACAAGTAATGATTGTAATAATAGAGGTATTGTTAAGTGAATGCCGTTGTGATTGCCGTTGCCGTCCGCAAACTTAAACCTTGATCATAACTTTTAAAGGTCTTAGTGTATTGTCTTCATACTTGGCTACAACAACTCTCTGGAAAAGACCTTCAAGTAGACAAGACTAAAATTGACCTTCATTCATAAATGACCTAGACTTTCAAGGCTGAATGTCTAAATGCTGCTTGATTAAAACTGATTTTTGTTGTTAGTGGCTATAACTTTGTTATTTTTAATGGATTGTCTTCAAACATGTACATATTAATCTTCTATAATAGTCCTTCAAGTAAACTAGACAGACCTTGACCTTTACTCATAAAGTAAAAATTACCCCGATGATGACGAATGGTTATGTTTGGACTGAAATCTGGAAACATAGCGGTCCCTCGGAAGCATTAATCACAACAAACAAAATAACAAGAGAATTGTAGACTCGGTTTGATTGAGTCTGTACATGAGAGATAATGCATACGTGCAACATCCCTCACGCAAAGACGGACATTTTCTTTGAAGTTATTTTTAGCGTGATGAGGGTTAAAAAGTATGACTTGACTTTGAAAAATGCATGAAATGTTTTAGCTTATATGTCTTTAAGTTGATGCCTATTTATACCGGTATTTGACCAGGATGGACTGGTGTCAAGATTTAAGCAGAGCAAGTCAGATATTCAGATATTGGACGGGAACTGTAAATGGTATAAATAAAAAAAAGTTTAGTAAAAACTAGTCGTATGACTATTTACTACGAATACTGTAACGTTTTACTTTGCAAGTACGCGCATGCGCATAGGCTATACTCCATGTCTGAAGTGTTTCTGTTAGGGGGCAGGGGACCTAAAAATGAACAATTTTGTATTTCAGTGTGGCCAGAAACACAATTCCAAATATTTCAAAATCTGTTTCACAGGCAGATAACCAGTTGCACAGCATTATTCAATGATATATGACATACATTGAAGAAAATAATAGTTTGCATGCATTGCTCCTTAAAAAAATGACTGACAGCAATTTATATTTACCCCCACCCAGCCAAAATCACACCTAAAATATACCAATATGGGCAATCTTCATGAAGGTGCAGCATACTCCAGAATCCGCCCGATTCCTTTAAAAATATCACTAACACGCAGTGCAAGCTATGGCATTTTCAAAAATGACCAATAAAGTGTCTGTCATGCGTTTAGATTTTTCACAAAATTTATCCGGAATTTCTTACTTGTTTGGCGCCAACTGTCAAAGCTTGATTTTTAACTTTTTCACCTCCATTCGGAGAGTCACAAATACATACAAAGCTACCAAAATGCTTAGTTTCGGGTAAAAAAACAACAAAAATACTGCTCGTTTCCTACACACAAACAAGAAAGAATTACAATGACAGAGAAATATCAGAAGTTTTCAGTACCTTCAAAACACCATGTCTGAGTTATTAAAAAAATTGACCGGGTCAATCATTCGAATATGTCCCCTGCCCCCTTATTGATACTGTATATCAATACTACCAGTATGGCGGATGTGATTTTTCTTTCACCGGAAACAAGAAACTGGCAAGTCTTAAAAATCGATCTATATTATGTAAATGTAAAATGTATTTTTTACATATAGGACATCTTCAGCTATAAATAGTGAGAAGGAAGGACGCGTGAAAACAATTCCAAAAGCTATTATCTTCTAATTACCCCAAAGTGTAAAATAATGAAATAATCTCATCCGGAACGTCTCATTTTTTTGCCTCATAGCAGGGTCCATTTAATAATTGATGAGTAATAGGGGGCGCTATATTCTTTGGAATCAATTAGGTTAAGATAATGAAAGTTCGAAGTTAATCAAGAAATTGCCTAATATTCAGGAAAATTCCGTGAAGTAAATAACAAGATCCGGGCTATATTAATGACAACATGGTCCGCGAGGCAGAAAAAGAAATGTTTCGATCAAGAGAAACAGCGTGTATTGACGGGAATGATGAGTTGGTTCCCGGTTTTTTATGAGGTTTTGACAGCTTTGGTCATATGTTTTGAGTCTTTCAAAAACAACTTCGCTGTCATATACTGTAGTATTGAACTGCATGTATTCGCTCGATATTTAAAATGTCTGTCAATCAAATTGATGATGATCAAGATGGTGATGACGCAGATAATGATAATAATGATGATGATGATGACGACGATGATGATGATGATGATAATAATAATAATGATGATGATGATGATGATGATGATGATGACCAGGAAGATAGGATTGATGTTTATTACTATGGCGTTCTTGGACGATTATGATGATTATAGTAACAGTTACATTTCAATACCATAAACGTTTATCAATATTTTGACTAGTTTGTGACGACAACTACGTTTATGACCAAATTGCTTTTATCATGCAAGATGAGTTTCTGATTGTATTGTCGACATTCATTAACCTATGGTTGTTATTGTTTTGATTTCTAACGACCCCTTTTTGCCGCCACTTTTTGGATCATTAGATTCATTAAGTACGATTTTCTAATGAGGTTTCTCGATGATTAGAGCAAATGACCGGAAAAATATACCATCTAGAGAAACACGATGATTGTAACAAGTGATGTATTTATTTCGCTCAAATTAAGTTTATGCCTCGGAATTCAATTCTTCAACATTATATTATTCGCTTGACCTTTCATTGACTCTGTTATGAAGATCTGAATTACTTGAATACTAAATTCTTCTGTTTTGCTGTTTTTTTCCCAAAGGTATTGCATGTTTTCTCGTGTATTTTCTAACAATTAACATGCAAGCTTTCGCCAATTTCCACAAAAGTAATATTATTAAAGTCTAAAATGACACCAATCCGGCTGGATTCAGTTAAGACAATTTTGATAATTATTGTCTACTAGCTGTTGTCAAAAGCGCCTGATAATTAATCCGGTTTTTTCTTGTAAAAGTGTATATTTGTTAAACATTATAAGTTCACCACCAACGTATCGAATAAAATCACTGGCTGAATGTTTTTCTTTCGTATTTGAGACAATTTAACTAGCTATAAAGTGTCATATCTCCCTTAAATAACGTATTTTCTGTCAGAAAATGCATTATTTAACGTTCAAACTACCTGTTAACATTTTAAATGTCTTAAATATTTTCGGCCATTTGATTTTTTTTATCGGCCGACACCAGTCTGAATCACTGCAGTTAGTCATGACAAAACATACACGCACCTTTATTCTATTTTAGTCACCGAAGTACGCAGACGACAAATATCGGACATGTTGCTTCTGTTGCGTTCGAGGACTGGTTCGCATTCAAGCGACGCTTGAACGAAGTGCCTATTGTTGTGGAGAACATATCCGGGTCAAAGCAGAAATACAAAACGGAAATGACGAACCAGTATATCTACTCTGTAAATTTGTACAGGTAAGAGTGGAACTACTTTTGATATACCGGAACTATTTTTTTGCTACGAATGTTGTTATTGTTTGTGTTATCATATTTTAACGGATTGATTTTACAATAATTTCTGTAAAACGGTATTGTAAAATGCTCTTAAGCGCGTTTTTGATTCGCATTCAAAAATTGACATATTTTTAAATATTTTTAAATTAATATTTTGTTCACAATGTTTGATTCTTTCTTTCGGCGGTCTTGTCCTTAAAATTTTTAAAATTCGTGTTAGATCTAGTAACTGATCTATTTTGAAAATAAATACATTGGAATGTACATGGACAGGACAATGAAGATTAAACGACTGGTACCAGACTGCAAACTGCGCGCAAGAATTTAGGAAGAAAAACAACAACAACAACAACAAAAAAACAACAAATACCCAAAATGGCGATGCAGGCTAATAATAACGCTGTTATTGTCCCGACAATTGGGAAAATTTATTTTGTACAAGCTTTGATGTGTAAGCACTAAAACATTTTCCCAATCAGTCTACTCAATTTATGTAATATCTAGATGAAAGCTTACTCTGCGCATTTATATGCCATTCATGTCAATATGACCGTTTGATCTTTTAAAGTTGTTCAAAAGAATGCAGTTTCTTGCAGTTAAACTGCGTGCTTGTAAAATCGGAATTTCCTGAAAGGTCTTGATATTTCCGTTGTTCCACTTGTTGTGGATTCTGCGAACCATAGTTACATTCGTGTCATGGGTTTGCGGTCATCATTTAGGTTTGTTGTTTAGGCCTTTATTTGAATAGGCAGGATAAAAGCTGTTGCTTATACGATATTGTTGCAATATCAAAGGTTAAAGACTAGTTAATAACTTCTGGAGCATTTATTTCACACATCTATTAAGAAGGTAAAATTCTCTCCGGTAATATTTTTTCTAAAATCATTAAAAACTTCAAATATTACATATGATTTTATGTTTAAATCGTCCATGTTTTTTCCTAAAATTCTTGCCATAAAGTTGAATATCATTAGCACATGCGTGTTTCATTTGTCGTGAAACTTTACATTCGTAATGTTTTAATGTTAGTCTAAAATATAATTTTAACTGAGAGCCTATAACTTTTACTGGAATCAATATCATTGTACGTAAGGAGGTACCCGAACACATCGGAAACATTCGTAATTGTCCGTTAGTCGCCGGTATTGTGCTCTTATAACAAATACTCAACAAAACAGCATCATATTTTAAGGACATTTCTTAGTACATTCAAGTCTTTCATACATGTTAGCTCTGAAAATTAATCATTAAATATTTTCAATTGCTCAAACAATTAAAACATAGCAAACCCCAAGAAACAAATTAATTATTTTTATTGCTATGCTTTTATACATGGAAAGCTTGAAATGTTTTTATACATCGGGAACAAAACAAATAAATCTTGATCACGCAAATTAAATTCTTTAGTTAATGTAATTTGTACAGTTGATAAAACTTGTAACGCTTTTTAACCTTATAACAATTTGAAGTTCCCTTTCATGTTAGAATTAGAATGTTATTAAATGTGCTTCGAGGTTTGTCATTACGAAAAACTAGAGCAATTTTCTTGTTTAGATAATTGGACTCACGCTCTACTAATTACAGTGTGTCATTCGAACTTCAATTTTAACAACAATTATCGTTATTCTAGTGTGTTTTTTTCTTGCATGAACTATAAGATTAAGTAGACATGTCTTCTTATTGGCGTTTATATGACACGTTATTATATCACGTTATTATATCACGTTATTGTATGACGTTATTACATCACGTTATTATATCACGTTATTATATCTCTCGCAGATTCAATTTTTACGTCTTTAAAGGAACTCCACTGAGGTCCGAAAGCTTAAAACATAAATCTTGAATATCCTACATATATAGATCAGCTTGGTTATTTGAAACAGAAAGATCTGCAAAAGAAATATAATGATCAGTAATAATTTGAAAATAAAAATTTGCATTGATGGCGCATTTATCTACAAAAAATAATTTTAGTCATGTAAAAATCTGCAGTGCAGTCCTTTTAATATGAGTAACGTGTTGCAAGTAAAATGCGACTGTTCTAAATAAAATTAGAAATAAACAAAAGTCAATCAATGTCATTATAAAAAAATATAACTCACTTTTCATTGTGATTCTGACCCATTCTAAGTTAAACCTTTCCAGCTTTTAAATGGTTGATTCTAGCTTGACCTGTTCTGAGCTAAAGCTCCATCCAATTTCTGGCTAGTTGATTCTACTGACCTTTTCCGAGCTAATTCCTTTCTTGCTTTTAATTGGTTGATTCTAGCTTTTAATTGGTTTATTCTAGCTTGACTTTTATGAGCCAAATCTTTTCCATCTTTTGATTGGTTGATTCTAGCTTGACCTTTTATGAGCTAAATCTTTTCTAGCTTCTGATTGGCTGATTCTGGCTTGACGTAGTCTAAGCTAATACTTCATCCAGCTTCGGATTGGTTGATTCTAGCTGACCTATAAAGAGCATAGTATCTACCTTCTAATTGGTTAATAGTTATTAACAATTTAGCATTATTGATCAAATTTAAGATCAAGGTCATAACAAGTCTATGAATATTGCTGACCTTGTACTTTCTGACTGAAAGTCAGTGCCATTTTACTTCCGACTCTTTTGATTAAAGTTCGCTTTAGGATACTTGATATTTTTGTTACGTCCCGTCTCATTGGATGATAATATAAAGCGTCTGCTTGATCAGGAGTAATGGTAAAGACGCTTATTGAAATAAATCATTTTATGAGTATTTCTTATTTGCACGAGTTTCTTGTAAAAGAATATTCAAGTTTAAAAATTATCATTTTTTCTCCAGTATGTTGAATATTACATGGATAAAGGTGTATTGGGTATCATGAAGTCATTAAGTCACACAGTGTGGGAATACCAGACAGACACTGTGAGATCCAATCATGTTCAAAAACAAGACAAGCTTCAAGATGACCTACAAGTGCCAGTGGTACCGCCGACACTCATTGACGTGTGCGGTCTCATTCAAATTCACTATATGCTCAAGGTAAATACATGTACAGTCACTATATCACATGTAATGTTCTCAGTAAATTACGCACCGCCATTCCGTAATCATTCATTAAGAGGCTTTAGCTACTGAAAACGCTTATGATTTATTAATGATGCATTATTAATCTGTTTTAATTCCGTTCTCATTATAACGCCAGCTCTGACACTTAATGGTGCTTCAACCTAATTTCCAATCGAGGTGAGCTTATCTAACACACAGTTTGCCCTCATTATTGCGTGTGGTTCATCTGAATTGATATAACACGCAGCTCGCCCTTATTGATGCTCGTTGTTCAACTGAATTTATATAACACACAGCTTACCTTCATTAAGGCGCGTGGTTCATGTGATAAAAATTTCTAAGGTTGGTTGTGAAAAGTCAGAATGGTTCAAATCAAGCGCCCTACGACAGCGGACGGTACCGCTATATGAGGGGTATTGATGTCAATGTTGATATAACTCAAAATGACGTCATTTACTTCGAGATCATTAATTCAAGCAAATCAAGTGTTGATTCCAGAACATTAAATAGCGGAGATTGTGTACCGCCCAAGCCGGTGTTTGGGGGCATAGGAGATGTTGCCCTTTTTCATTATCCCTCATGTACAGATTCAATCAAACCGAGTCTGAAATTTTCAGGAATTTTGCTGATTTTAATGCTTCCGAGGGATGACTATACGGACCATGAGCACAAAGAAGGTCTTTTACTGCATATTTATCTTCTGCAATAGTATAGCTGTAAATTTCCGGCTTTGAAAGGAAAAAGTGTTATAATTGGTTTTACTGAGATGTTATATGTTTGTCTACTTCATGATAATGCTCAATATTATACATCTGAGCTTCGGAGAAGGTTACCGTCTTGTCGCGTACCATTCATACTGTCCAGATCTAGCCCCATGCGACGTTTTCCTTTTCTGAAACTTAAAAAGTTCTTATCTGGTCGTCAATACAAGTCCCGAGAGACCCTTAACTCAGCCATCAGCCAGTACCTCAGATGTCTACCTAACTCAGGATACCGTGACGCATTTTATAAATGGAATCGGAGATTAAAGTATGTACATGTATTCACGGAGGATATTTTGAAGGGATGTAATGTTAATTTGTCTTTTTGAGTCGAATACTTGGTGCAGAAGATTGTGTACATTACAAATTACATATCGAACAACCCTGTCCCAATTTTACATTTAATTGAAAAAATTCACATTTGCTAGCCGGAAATTGTATCATATTTAAAGCAAAGATTGTTTGAATTACAGTTGTATGTTGTTGGGGAGAGTTCCGGTCAGATGATGCACGTGCAATTCCCAATCACCATAGGAACGGTTCCATTCCGAATACCTAGTATGCCTTCACCACAAATGATGTATGGTACGTTTACACAGAAAGAGTTTTAAATATTAGAATTAGAAATTCATTCCATTAACTTTAACAGTAAAAATGCTAAATTCCAACCTCTTATAACTACACGCTTTTCATTTTCAGTGTTTCATGTTGTATGCCCTAACATATATTTATATATACGGAAATGTTATCTTGCTAGGTTAAATATATTACATATGTACTTCTTACTTTGACTTTGAATATACATGTAAGTCTTATAATTTTACAATTTTCTAGAGATAGCAGCTGATTACGTTGAAGGCGGGAAATACATAAGTTCCGAGTTTCAACTAGGTCAAGTATACATGGGTGATGAGTTCCAAGACCACGATGAAGTTATTCTTTACCGACCAGTGTATTCTTGCGTTCCCCATGAGAAAATCGCGGTCACTAATACAAAAAGGGGAGCTCAATCGAGAGATCCGGCAGACGGTCAACCGGAAGGAGCGGAAGCAGTCTGTGAAGAAATAAATGTACTTCCGGTTCGGAAAAAATCTCAAAAATCATTGGATAAAAAAGACTCAGCTAAATTCGGAGACAGACTAAAACCGGAGGTGGTAACCGTAGATGAAGTGAGTTCGTCGGAACCATGGGAGGTCATTGCGTTGAAGAAGTGAAAGTTTGAAATAATATGGAATTCTTTATTGAAACAAAACCAAGAAGAGTTGAAACACGTGTTACAGTATTTGATTAATAGGAAATACCTAAATTTTAATACACCATAATTACATAAAACCATTTAAATTTACATGAACCCCCAATTGTTTTGAAATGATATATACCGACAATCTTTGATAAGGATTTTTCTTTACGTTTAAATTTGCCTTATGTGTTGATGCATTTATCTTATGTTGAATAAAATCCACCATTTTTCATTCATGCATTGTTTTGCACGTGTAAATTGTGTTCAGAAAATGTTCATTTTTATAATATACTTTAACATGCGTTCATTTCATATGGTATCGTAGCTTTATTCATATAAATGTTTATTTTTTGTGCAATATTTTCGTTCAAATGTCTAAATGAAAAACTGTAAATAAGAAATAATCTAAAAAAAAGTATATGTGCAGAATCACTGGACCAAATATTATCTCATATAATGTATGTGACATTTATTATGAAACATGTGATGCATTTCTTGTATTAAAATATAATTAATGGTTTAAATATGACTAACTTACTTGAGGTGTTTTTTTGCTAAAGTCATAGCAATTTGCAAGTCAAGTGAATGGTATAAAATAATCATCTTACAATACCATATACGGATTATGATTATCATAATAAAAGCATGTACATAATTAAAGCAGCATGCCTCCAGATTCATGCTGATTTTCATGAATTTTTTAAAAATGTATGTAAAAGTGAACTATTGTGAAGGGAACAAAGAAAATTTGCTAAAGTCATAGTCTTTTCCAGTGTAGATTCAAGTTAATACATGTAGTATGAAAATAATTGTCTTACAATACCATATATGGATTATGATTATCATATTAATAAACATATGTACATAATTGAAGCGGCATGCCTCAATATTCATGCCAATTTTTATGAATTTTTACAAAGTGTAATTTTGTGAAGTGAACAAAGAAAAGTAATTGCACATTGCACATTTCATGCAACACTTGTAACCCACGAAAATTACCAAAATAGTCAAAAATATGCAAAAATAGCCCTTACAGCGTTATATGATGATAAATGCTGCAAAATCAGTCCTTAATTCCTAATAACATGTTAATGATAAATTAAATCTTAAATATTTTTACTTTTCTTAAAATCTTAGTACACTTTTCTCAAGTTTAAGTTTCTTGAAATATTTTGACTCATCTGGAGGCATGCAGCTTTAAAGACCAAACACGTATTTTCCATTCACATGAAATAATATATAAGATGTAAGCTTTCAGATATCTAAGGAAACATGTACTTAGTTACCAAAAAGTTGAATTTTATTCTTTAAGTTTTAGAATTTGATTGAACTGGGCTGATTTTTGACTGTTGATGCCCCCAAAAATGTTTCAGGTAGAGCTTGGTTTGTTCACTCGTTTCTCAAGCATTTTCATTTATTGCAAATATGTTAAATACATGTCTTTAATGCGTTTGAGTGGTTTGGAGATCTTCAACCTCGGATAGCTTTTAAGATTGTTTGGGCTAAGCCCAAGGTCACTGATGCTTATGATTTTCCTTTTTTTTTCCTACAGTAAAGCCATGTTCCAAGCTTTTTAAAGGCGGTATAGTGCAGCAACCATCTTTGTTATAAATTAGTAATTCAAACATGTGTATGAACGCTCACGGCGCAAGGCAGGCACTGATTATAAAAGGCCTCGCTGTCTGACCAAGCTCAAGGTTTTTTATCTTGCGAGTCCGTATCAGACGCTCGCGAGGCGCAATTTTATAGATTTAAAAGGGGCGCCGAAAAAAACTTTCAAATTCAAAGCAGGACAATGTTATATACACAAACTGGACAATGAAACTGTTAAATATTGATGTTCGTCTGCATGTATGGATGGAACTGTTCACATTTATTTTTCACAATCAAAGACAAAGATATTCTTTGTGAGACAAAAATATTTTATTCTATAAAACGTTTTAGTTTTGCTGGAGGGTACATTCATCATCAATAGTTTCTTTTAATTAAATCAAAACCATCTCCTATAAAGCACTTATTTTTAGTTGATTTTAAACCATTTATTACATACTCCTTTTTATGTGTTTTTATAAATGATTCATATTTTCTTTTCTTTAAATTTATGGATTTACATTCCTTTTTGTTAAAGAAAACAAGTTAAAATAAGTTTGTGTAAGTTCGGCATATTTCGATATTTCAATCAGTCAACTTACCGAATATCCATCGTTTACGAGAAGTGACGAGGTTAGCCGAATGTGTATAAGCTAGAAATGAAAAGTTTAGCTTACGAAAATCGTTTATGAAAATATTATCTTTTCCTTGAGTTTTTTACATGTTTCTTTATTGAATAGCAATATAATTGTAAATTGAGTATATGCTTGGACGATATATAGAGTTTCTTTTTCAGAGTGTTCTTTTTTTGTGTCATACCAGGGAAATAATTATTTTGACAGACTCTAAAACTGTAATTTAATTTAAAATGTTTCACTGTGTTTTCTGTAATTTTACATTGTGATCATGAATCTCAATTAATCAAATTTGCACGTTTTTCACGCTATACAAATCCTGTAATTTTAAATACAGAATGAGTGTGAATAAAGCTAAAAACAATTTCAGTTGTTTTATTGTACCAAATAATACATTTCAGGACTAAAGTGTTGTGTTTTTCTATCAGCAAAAAGTAGAAAATTGATATCCTTGCCTTCTTGTTGATAAGCTTTGGTGTTTATACAAGATTTTCTTTCCTGTTCAACTTCCCTGAAGCTGATATTTTCTTGAATTATAAAATAATCCTAAGTACATGTATGTGAGAATCACGTAATTAGGATATGGGTAAGTAATTTTATATATTAAAGTCTTTTATAGAATATCATGATGGTTGCTTATTTGAAACAAACAAAAGCGTAAGGCTGGCAAAAGACGTGAGACATGCAAAACGTCATAAAACATGCAACATGACATAAAACATGCAAAATGGCACAAAACACGCAAAACTGCAAAACGGCGTCATACTTGCAAAATGGTGTAAAAGATGCAAAATGGCATAAAAAGTGCAAAATGGCGTAAAACATGCAAAATGGCATAAAACATGCAAAATGGCATAAAACATGCAAAATGTCATAATACATGCAAAATGGCATAAAACATGCAAAATGGCTAAAGTAAAACAATCTTCGTGAAACATGCATTACAGCATAAGACATGCATACAAATTGCTTGGAAAAAATGTATCCAAACCATTGATGTTGCGTCGAACGATATATTGAATTTCATTCACGGGTAAAAATGCAGAAAGGTTCAACTGATTTACTTAATGGACCAGAAACAATACCCATGATGTCATACCTATTTCGAAGCAACCGTACATTGTATTTCAATTAAAGTAGATACTTCGTACGTAATTTATTTCATAAAACCGGTATTGTGTAGTCGAATGAATGAATAATAAATAAGTTTATAGTTTGAAGGCCTTTTGCTTAATTTGATTAAAAACAAACACAATGTCAAAATGACAGATATCAAAAATATCATAATTCTCAGACCCTGTTATATCATTTGCAACATGGGATTCTTTTTAATTTTGATAAAAGATAAGATCGATAGCAAACTGCGAGTGAATTTGATCCAAGTGCGCAGTCGTGTTGATTTGGATTGCGAATTTTCAACATACATTTAGATGTACGAATATTTTTACACATAAAATGTGAATTAGAAATATTTGAAACAAAAAATTTTTATAAAACAAAAATAAAAGCAAAATAATGAGAAGAACATTAAAGAATCAAGTATAAAAAATAGTATATAAGATTACAAATAACACTTTTTATTTCGCGCTATTCGTACTGTATTTCCATTTTGAGTAACTTCTATTCATTTAACGATAGATTACGTACTTTTTTATGCTAGAAAATATTCCAAGTGATATAAAAGTGATTTAAAGCAGCACGCCTTCAGATTCATGTTAATTTTCATGAATATTTTAGAAATGTATGAACTTGTTAAATATTGTGAGGTGAACGAATAAAGTAATTAACATATTGCAATCGGCACTTGCAATCCAAGAAAATTACCAAAAAATCGTCAACATATGCAAAAACAGCCCTTACTGCGTTAGTAACGCAATAGAAATATGGTAATAAAATACTGCAAAATCAGTCTTAAACCGCACATAACATGTAAAATATAACTTGGATTTTGAATATTTTTACCTTTCTTTAAGTACATTTTTTTAAATATTGATTTTCTTGAAATATTTTGGCAGCTTTAAGATATTTATTTTTTAAGATTTTCTGACCTTGAATCTGTAATAAATGGTTTTTTTAGAATAGTATTTGGTGACAGTTCTGGTATAATGACTTACAACAACAAAATATAATTATTGAAACATTTTATTTTATATATATTTACTATTTACATCACTTGATATTTTACAATAAATAAAAACTTCAACTTTGAATGAGACAATATACATTTATTGTACAAAGTGGAAGCATTAGTTACTTATCAAAGATGCAAGGAAAAAGGAAAAATATATTACAATAAACAAAAATGATTTTATATTACAATGAACAAAGCAAAGTTGGTTATAACTTTTTAAATACATTTACAAATGTGTCAAAAGAAACTGTAATTTCATAAACAACCGATAGAAATCAACCCGCTAATTTGATTTAGTTTCAGTTTAATTGCTCCGAGGTTTTGTCCGATATTACTATCAAGTGCTGATGTTGTTTCTACATTCCTAGAGACCTCTCTGAAACGATCCCCTCGAACTCTTCTTTAGCAGACAGTTTTGCTGAGCGACGTCGACGACCACCGAAAAATCTTTGAACTCGACCTGGAAGAAAGAAGGACATTTTGAAATACATGTATGTCAATGATAAACAATTTACCGTAATGAATCGTACATACATTAAGTAAAATATATTTAATTAATCGCGAGGTGTAATAGTTCATGCCTAAGATGTAAACCTTCGTCTGTTATAAGGGCCTCTGCATGTCGTAAAATCATATCGACCCGGGCTTCAAATAATTACGCCATGTAAGGATGTTATTCAGCTAGTTTACGTAAGATCGGCAAATACCACACATACTCATTTTTCCTTCCGTTCATGCTTGAAAAATAAGCACCTGATCGTGATGTCTTCCTCCACAAAAAAATCTGGTTTTTGTGCAATATTCACGAATATCAGTTATCTCCCTTACAGTGAATTGTCCTATTTCTCTCCCTTACACTATAACAAAACACACGAGTACTAACAAACATTTTTTTACAGCCAGGGGAGAGAACTAGAACATTACGTTTTTTAATCTTTATAGAGTACTCGCCCATGGGGAAAATTATTCATTTCCAGGATGATAGATCGAAATAACAACAGGTGACGTCACATTAGCCCATATAGTTAAAAGTTTACGTGAGGTACAATTATACTAAAAACATATTAGAGATCCGGACAAGCCTTATCTTTATTTGAAGCCGGTCCGCATAGTGCAATCGGTTAGAGCGCGAGACTTAGAATCTCGACATTGTGGGTTCTATTCCCGGGCTGGGCAACTAAAATACTAATCAGTCTTTTGGATGAGACGTTAAACCGAAGTCTCGTGTATGAGTGCTTACACACTTGGCACGTTCAAGAAGCAAGAGAAGCTTCTGGAATTGGGGCATCTTTCTGTATCTGTATCTTGCACTATCCTCCAAAATCTAAAACACTATTACAACGTACTCCTCTGGAAGACTCGCCAATATGGGCAACCGGTGGCGAGTATAAATAAACTTAACAAATATCTTTATTTGCCTATCTTATACCATATCATGTTTGTCGACTTTCACGCGACTTAAAAAAATGACGGAAATTTGCAACAATTTTTTATCCAATGATAGTGACTGGCATTTTTATCTGGGATTGTATCATCAATACAGATATCCAATAATATTTTAGCCATCATTTATTGTTTTGTGACTCGGATCAATTGAAAAAAATATAAAAAAAGGTATCACAAAGAGAAATACTCTAAATATGGAGGGAAATGACATTTGATACTGTCTCATGAACGAACAGTGCCTTATAACTTGGGCGAATTGCGTTGGTGTGTATTCGTGTTTACATACGATACTTCAGGAAGAGCCCTTGTTTTACGATTGTACTGACTCCATTCCAGCATTGCTTAATTAAGAGTTCATGTCAGTTAATACATTGATGTCATAATAATGTAAAATAACATCATATAAATGACGTCACACATTACCAGCACACAATCCCCTTAAGCAGGACTCTCCACGACCACATCTTGAACATCGGCGTCCAGGAATAAATGGGTACTGACCAATAAAATTACCACTGAAAAAAAGTTGATGAGAATTTATTAAGTGCACAATTTATTTAAAACAAGAGGTCTGATATGGCCCTAGATCGCTCACCTGACCAAGCGAAATCATCCGAGCAATTACTTAGACAAGCATCCTGACCATATTTGATGACAAGTGACTCAAAAATGTGACCTCTAGAGTTTTAACAAGGTTTATCCATATTTGGGCGGTGTGACTTAATTTTTGACCCCAGGTAACCCGTATTCAAACTTGACCTAGAAATAATCAAACTAAACTTGCAGACCATTTTCTAGGATATTTAAATCAACACAGTAGCCACTAGAGTGTTAACGAGATTTTTCTATTTTAATCTCCTCTGACCTAGTTTTTCATCCGAGGTGACCCATGTTCGAACTCATCTGAGCAATTACCTAGACAAGCATTCTGACCAAGTTTGATGACAAATGAGTCAAACTTGTGACCATTAGAGTGTTAACGAGGTTTTTCCATATTTGGGCGGTGTGACTTAGCTTTAGACCCCAGGTGACCCATATTCAAACTTGACATAGAAATCATCAAAACAAACTTTCAGACCAATTTCCAGGGTATTTGGATTAATACAGTAGCCACTAGAGTGTTAACAAGATTTTTCTCCTGTGACCTTTTTTTTCATCCGAGATGACCCACGTTCAAACTTATCCAAGCAATTGCCTAAAAACAGCATCCTGACCAAGTTTGATGATGATTGAGGCAAAATGTGACCGCTAGAGTGTTAACGAACAATTATGAACAGACGACAGACGACGGACATTCAACGATCTTAAAAGCTCAACCTGGGCTATAAAATTAGATCATTTAAAATAACTTTACTTGTGTAATTAAACTGAATGACTGACACCGTGGTACGTTTTACATTACAAATGAAATTGATATTATTTCTGTCTTTGATTCATCTTTCTACAAGATGGGGAAGTAATGCCCTACTGAGAATATCCTTCCGGAAACATAAGTTACTTTTTTAATCATGTTAGACGAAAGTCAAGATGATTTTAAGAAAATAAAACAATAGTATTTGACAGACACACTTTTAACTAATGACAAACACATCGGTAATAAACATTTATTTATTTCATAAACCAATTAGTGAAAGCTTTAAAATAAAGTCTTATACTTACGCTGGTGCGTAGAAACAAGCAAAATACATGGCATTTCTTTGGATTGAGCCTTGTCCGACCCTCAATAAAGGACAAAAACTAAGAGAACAGCCAACCCGTGAAGTTTGAGCCCAAATCAGCTTAAACCAACGAAAAATAAAAAAATAAGATTGATTATTTATTACAAATATAAACTGCATTTTTACCACTTTTAATCGTACTCATTATAAGACGAAGAAGTTAAGAAATTAGTCTTAAAACTGTAATTATATACTCAAAAGCATAGAATTATTGTCGAAAGTCAACTTCTCTTTATTACATACATTTAGTTTTTAACTAAAATTTTAATTCATCAAAGAGTGAACAGTACATTTTTGAATTTTTTTTTTAGACATTTACTTAAGTTCCTCTTTTTTGTGAAGCAATTTAAACTTTAAATATGGATAGGTGAACTTTGAATCCTTAATACCTGTGTATAATGACATGCAGCACCACAGCCTCGGGACCACCGATACAGGCGTTTCTCCGCTGCCCAGAGTCCTATAGACCGCTGTACAACAGACCTTGGAGGTACGGGTCGTCCCGTGCTTGTAAAGTAGGATAAATTCTGCACCAAGCCCTCTTCTTTGATGTTCAAAATAACATGTCTCGCTCCACTGAGCAGCTCTGTTTGCCAGGTAATTGTCCCATGTCTGTGTAAAATAATCAGCATAACCTTTTGTCTATGTGACATTTCAATATTTGAATACTACAAGTAAAGTCAACTACTAATGGAAGGCGATTGTTGAATTATTTTACAAGATTATTTATTAATATTTTGGAGTTCTCACTCAAAGAGCCATTTGAGTGAAGACATTCCAAACGCTCCTTATTCTGCTTCTTCATAAAAACACAAGACTTTCTTGCATATCAGACAAGACAGGATTATTAACCGTAAACATCGGTGCTATTTCCCCTCCCCCGTGTAAGACGTAATACGTGCCTTTTATGAAAGAATTGCGTCTTTAGAATATTGTCATTTTGCAAGATAGTCCTGTGATGTAAAATGATAACAATCTGATTTCAATATGGCTACGACCCCATCCCCCCTTCGATGCCCTTTCTTAATTTATAATGTACATAAAATTTTATTTTTTACAATTAGTTTTCTGTTACGTAAACAACCGGAGAAAGCAACGAAGTAAACCAATCAACCAATTTATGTCGTGTGCCAATGACCTTAATTAAGCAATCACATTTTTACATTGTCGATGAATGCTCAGTTTAAGGTCATCCTAAACGTTGATACATTTGAACTATTTGCGATCGCTAAATGCACATGTTTACGTCTTAATTTACCTGTTTCCTTTCCCGTCACTTTCATCTATTTTTTGTCATTCTTTCTCTAACTATTAACCTAGATTTTTGTGATCAAGTTGATCTGCTTGTAGAAATTTCATTTCTAGTAAATAATAATTTTACGCATTTAACGAGCACTTAAAAAGTCACTTGAACTGACTTTTTACTGTACAAACGTCGCTTTAATTGTTAAAATATTTGTAATGGATTGAAATAATTGCGTCTAGACACAATACGATCAAACGTTTACATGATAACTCAGTATATACGAGCGAGAAAGGTACATTTCTACTCTTGTTTTAACAAATGTGTGCATGTGTTCAAAAGCAATATTTTAACCTTTAACCTGATGGAGCCGGAAGTGATTCAAGTCCACATGGTCTGACTATACTCTATACAAAAATATATAAAGGTAAGGCATCAATGTATTTATTAAGGATTTATTAAAGGCACATCATGCCTCAGAAACAAATGTATTTGACTTCTTATGAAATGGAAACATGAATTTTATAATGTTTAGATAATAATGTTAGATACTTGTTACCTGAAGAAAGTAGCGATAAAAATGAAATAATTTTTCGTCATAAAAGTAGCAAAATACAAATTACTAATTCACTGTAACTGTACTTATTGCCAAGGAGCAACAAATGTAAAAGATGGTTCAGGTAGTTGGCCGATGAGTAACGTTTTGGATAATATGAAAGTACACCAAAATTAAAAATATTTGGGGAAATAAAATTAAAAGCATTTCATGTGCCTTTAAAAACTAATTTTAAAGATCAAATTATAAAGTGTACATTATTTTATTTACACAAACCAACAATAAAAATTGATACACTTACTTGATATTTCATGTTTGATGCAGGTTCTAAACGTCTGTAATAATTATGTGCTTGTAAAATGGCTCTTTGAAATGGACGGATGTTGAGCAATACGCATGCGCAATGTGACATCAATGAGGCAAGCAAATATGTTTGTAAATTCTTCATACTTCTTTCTGTGAAACATTATGATGCGTTTTAATGTGTTTAAATGATATACCATTTGTTTAAAGATATTCAAACAGTAACCGTAAAAGGTCATGTTTTCGAGGATGATCATTTATTTAAAATTTATGACCTATAAATAGATCGAAAATTTTCGTCTGACTTATCTGAAATTTAATGCGTAAACTTTCATTTAATCCTGTTTTACTTGCTTCTCGCCATATAAATGGTTAATTGTTCTTAATAAGATACGGAAACTAACGAAATATACCGAACTTCACGAAATTGTTTATTAAGAGACTTTACGTAAAATGTGTGCGTTCCAAACTTTTCTGTGTTTCAACAATACATTTTAAACAGTATTTACATTTGACTCAGTTATAGTTTGCTGTTTAACAAACATTAATTCTAACTGCAATTAGGAATTAATAAAATAAAAATTAAACAGCAGTTGTTTCGACGACGTTAAATCAAAATCGTGCCGCATGTTTTTGTATTAATTTTTATCGAAATAATCATAATTATTTTTTAATGTCGTCAAATTACAGCCTAAAGATAAAATGCTAGTATAATACTTTTGTTTTAAAATTCCTGCTGATTCTAGAATAAAAAAAATGCTATCGTTTAAGCTACATTTATAAAAAACCTTTTTTGTACTTAGATTTATTAAAAAAAAAAAATAATTTTTTTACCCAAACTGGCTTAATTATTGAAATAAAACTGTTCCTTATATAACATGCACAAAATACATAATCGTATAATTCTTGGCGACAAAAATAGATGCTTATTTCAGCACAAAACTGACACATATAATGTTTATTAAAGGCACAGAAAGCCTCACAAATGATTAAATGTTTCCTTCTGTAGCAAGGGCAAACGTGTGTTTTATAATGTTGAAATAATGGACTTAGAATATGTGAAATGCTTATCATACGGAGACAATTGTACAGAAAATGAAATAATTTGTGATAAAGGTATTTTTAGATAAAGGTATTTTGTGATAGAGGAATTTTGACTTCCATACAAAATACTAAATCACTATATCTGTACTAATTGCCAAACCGCAAAATAAACAAAATAGGGCTCAGCTATATATTTAACTAGAAACTTGGAAATTACATCAGGACACCGAAAAAGATAAGCTTTTGAACAATTAAAATAGCAACATTTTATTAGGCTCAATTGGCCTTTAATATTAAATGCTTTGATCTTTTAAAAGGCTTGTCATGTTAGCTTGTATGAACCGAATACATTTTAAAAAGTCAGTTTATGTCAGTTAAAAGAAACATTTGATAAACTTTGTAACTTGAGGAAACAAATTTGTAAAATTAGAACGACCAGCTGTTTTGTATGTATTGCAAATAAAGTTTCGACATTAAAGTTTTTAAATCAGTCATGATTTCATTACGTTCACACAACGAAGAACCTTAAAAGTGAAGTTTTCCATGTTTTTAATGAGTCGAGATTTTCTTTAATTTACGATATAAGGTTTTGATATATTTAATATTTAGATACATTCCCTAGGTTTACTGTACATAATACATGTACAGTTTGCATGCTAAATTCTGCTTAAAAATGATAACTAGTGCACAAAAAGTCTTCATAGTCAGCAAAGAATATAATATTAAAATTTAATTGCTTTTTTCTCTATTGTAATCTTATAAATAAAATTTAAAATATTAGATACTTACCTTTATAAATCAAATAAATAAATAACAAATAAATTAACACTTTTGGTAAGCAAATCAACTAAAGCTAAGCTAAACCATACACATTATATGTACAAATAATTAATATCTCCATTTGTACAAAACAATAAAAATCATGTTTTTCCACCTGTAACCAATTGTCTATTTATATGTATAGGTGATCGGACCAAATCGCCGAATCGTGTCAAGGTAGGGCCTGTCATAATTTAGTCTAACAAGTAATTCGATTTAACAATGTGTCTGTGGTTTGGTCAAAAGTGACTAATTGATTTAGTTAGGGATAAAGGTCAAAGTATATATCCATTATATAAGGAAATTGTTTAATTTATAGTGCTACGATATGCAAATCAAACAATAAGCACATAAATTCATTCTGTTTGCTTAAACGTTGTACATACCAATGATATATTGAAGATGCTTCATCGCAAAGGGACACAATCGTGGTAAAATCTTGATGACATCAGTTAGTTGGTTTTGTCTCTTTTACAATTGCACGTTGGACAAATCATTATCCGAATTCTTTCGTTTTAGGTATAAACATTTCAAAATCGTCAATTGATTTTAACTTTTATATCTTTTACTCTCAAATTCTGTTTTTAAAAAGCAGGTACTTAACATCGCAGCAATGAATTAATACAACTTACTAATCAGAAAAGAAACGCCTTCATTGAGAGGGCACATTTACTGTGTCGTTTTCGTTTCATTTTGATAATTTTAGCTTTCATTTTGCAAAGAGATTTCGCCACCAGTATGCTATATTGTATTTTTATAATGTCATACAGTCCTGTGCTTAATAGTGCACTTTGGGTAATAATATTTATTATTTTTAAATGTTTTTTTTTAAGAAATGTAAGAAAGACCTCTTTAATATTTAAATTTATTGTAAGAATACACACAAGTTTTCCAGCTGCATGTCATAAAGCAATAATTAATACGTAAAGTATACCCCAATGACAAGATTACATACAGGTATACAATTCTTATGGCTCATCGAAACAAGCAGTGATATGATTTGTCTTACAAGCAAGTCGTTTAACAAAATAAATACAATGTGTTCTGTATAACTAAGAAGCGCAAGAACAATATAAGCAAGTATTACTTACATATATGACTAACAAACATGAAATAAATGTTAAGGAAATATTCCGGACTACAAAATATATGCAATATAAAAAAATGCACTATCAATAATGTTTATATCATAAGATCGAAAAATGAGCTTTTATCGCTGCTCAAAATTAATTTCTTGACATGTAAATATAAAATGGAAACATCAGATGTTTCGTAACATGACAAAATTGAAAATGCTGCAGGCTCGTTTTGACTGAGCCTGTTTTTTTTATAGTAGTGACAAAATGCAAGCTAATGACTACCCCCTTGTACCGGCATAAACAGAACTTAACAATGTGACATTAATTTCTCATTCCATGAAAATCGGCGTATTTGCTTAGGTATTAGAATGTGTCTAAATTATCAAAACTATTAACAACCATTTTTATACAGCAAAACAATGTTTCTTTTAAAAATGTTCAGTATTTGCGCATTAAATTTGAGCCATGATAAATTATGCTAGTAGGTCAGCTATGATGTCGCAATGACACAGTTATACTAAATTATGATAAACAGAATAAAAAAATAAATGTAAAACAAGTGACAGCCGTTCTAAAACATAATATACCTATTTTAAATCAATTAATTGTACGATTATTACATGACATATTCATTTATTATGTGTAGTTACATATTAATAACATATCCCTCGTTATAACAATAATCTGCAGTCAACAAAGGTTTTTGTAGAAATGTCATAGAAACACAGATGTAGAAATAGTTTTTGTTGCAAAATACAATTATTGCATTAATGTCAGAATTATGTATCAGTTATTTGTTAAAGTGATCCAGAACAAAATCCATGACAGTAATGGATTGTCAAGTGACAGATAATTTATCTCAATAACGTTTCTAAGTGTTTGTATATAAATAAAAAAGAAAAAAATAAGAAACAAACAAACAACAATATAAAAAATCATACATGGTATATATTAACCCCGTATCATTGTACCGTACAAAAATAGTGTTGTTGTTTCATATATATATGAAATTGTAAATTAAATTAAATGTAGTTTGTATTTGATTATTGTTGTCCGTTACGATGCTCGTTACTATAATACACATATTTATAGTTGAATGTTCAATACTGTTTAAGCCGGTGCTGGGGGGGTGGGCGTAAGCGATCTTTCAAGCATTATTATAAAAAAATGAATACTGCCCAGGCCGAAGCTGGGATCGTAAGAGAACTTGTATCAGGAACAGATTCAATAAAACCCAAATAAGCGAGGCCTACTTTTTTCAAAATGGCAAATATAGTATAAAAATGTTTAACTGTTACATACTAACATCTAGCACTTATTATTTCGTCATGAAAACTTTTCAAATTGATGCAGAAAATAAATAAATATAAAAGAATGATTACAATTATTCAATTCATCAACAATTTGTACGAGGGTTTTTAAAAAGGTAATAGGACTAAGACTTAATAACCATGGGAACAAGCACCCGGCGCAGTGCATCAAAACATTTTTGATGCTTAGTTGTTATAGTTTCTTAATTTGTTGTCTGTTTTTCGATATATTCCACCAACACATTTCATTACATTTAAACGGCATTTTGTCAACATTTGACGTCATTCAGACAAAAAACGACTAAATTATCAAGTTTTAAACATTTATTTGTAAGATATGCCTGTTTATAAGACAATATGAAATAGCTGCAATTTATAAATACATGTAGTAGGCTGAAATGAAATACATTAATTGGTCCAGGTATAAACAACCTTTCGAACGAAGGTTTTAGGCGCTGATGGTACAAGCGGTACTGCTTCAGAATAAGTGACCGAGGAGTCTGGTTGAAGTTGCATTTGATCAAGCATATTAACTGAAGGTGGCCTGTTATTTGACGCCTTTGACGGTCTCGAACACAAACCAGCATTACAGCTTTCGCCAATATCACATTGTGTGCATGGTTCTCCGAGAGTATAGGGGTGCTTCCCAATAAAGTTGCCTCTGAAAGAAAAGAAAAAGAGATCTGAATTCGAACGTTAGTAATAAATTCGCAAGAAGAACTATTCTGGACGGATCACCTTGTTATTGATTGTAAGATTTTTAAATGCAAGGTCTGAACTTTGACAAATTAATTACCCTTTACCTCGTATTTTGTGTTACAAATCCCACTGTTATGCAATGGTGTAAAGAATGCAAATTCAACAATTTGTTTAACATCCACGAACGAAATTTTGATACAAAGCCTATCTGTAAAGAAGGGTTAGATTGCATGGCTAAAACTAACTTTCTCAGAATGAAGGCGTCACAAATACGGTGGCACTCTGATCTACATCCAAAATATAACTGTAGATCTGAACTTTAGTCAGATTGTAGCAATGTTTTACAGTCACTTCTTTACAGTTAATAAGGAAGGATTTAATAGATAAATATTGAAAAGCACACAATGTCTGGCAATATAATATAAAACTGACAATGCTAAATTTTGTTAGCGATGCAAACATTTTAATTATATTTCCTTAATGAATTATGTAACACCTTGATGACACATTCTATTCACCCTAGTGACACATTACATACAGCTTAGTGACACATTATATTCTTAAAATGCTCTCTGTTACGTGACACGATTTTTTCATCTCGTCTTACATTAAAGAAATGCTATAGAGAAACTATTTTTAGTCTGGTATAACAATGACACTGTGATCTCACGTAGTTATTAGTGTTCTTAAATTTGTCGTCTGCCTTTTGCAAATAGTGAACCCTCGACTTATATCATATTCACACGTCTAACATAAGATATGATTTACTGTCGTCTTGAGGAAAGGGGACATTGCAGTCTTATGTCTGCGTAAAAGTTTACATAAAACCACCGACATAACGTAAACGTGACTGGGGGCTTAACAAGACTGACATCTTTTCTACATATCAGTTGTGGCTAAGGGGTTGCCTTTTAGGGTTGAGACATCAAAATAGCAGCCGTTTATCCCTGCGTGATCGTAGGAAGCGACTAAATGAGTTCGAATAATTGGGTCAATGTATTTTCTAGCTTCAGTAGCATTAAATTTGTACATCCGGGGTCCTGTTTCGGCGATATGACCTAACAAACAAAACTTTCCTATACAGATATCTTTTAAAACTATTTCCTTTGACAAAGGTGATGCGAAATGGTTGACTAACACATTCACAAGTATATGATGAGGTAAAGGTTAAATGCTGGGCTCCGATTAAAAGCACTAACGACTGGCCTGACATTTTTGTAAGTAAGCGAGTCGTCTGAAATTTTCATACACAGCTAAAATGCAGAAGGTCAACCGGTTACTTATTTATTGTCATATACAAGCCACTATACTTGTAAACTATCCTCCGTTCTATTTTTAGCGTTTTAACACTTAGTAATAAAATAACTGTTTATATGATTTAGGTAATACAAAGAAGATTTCTTTTTCTAAAATCTTCAAAGGGAAAGCTAGAATGTGATAAATATATGCTTTAACGAATTCTGATTTAGACAAAGAAATACAACAATGAACAAAAGAGATAATAGAATCATGTGAATACATGTAGGTGTAGGCGCGAATTGACTTTCGATTTCCAAAAAACGCGTAAAAGGTTTATTAGATACGTGACTAACATTCCTACCTGTGATGTTTCACTAGATTTCAACTTTTTCAAAGGAAATCCCTAACACCCTTTTCTGCTAAAAGCTAGACTGATACAAATCTCATTCACAATGCGCATAATTGACAAGAAAATTGACCTGTTAAATCAAAACTTTTTTAATTAGTGTAGTATGCACGTTAAGGAAGGTTGCACGTATATATTCAGATGTAACGTTTACACACGTTGCCTTCCCGTGCTTTTTTATAACTTATATAATACAAACTTTACTGGATTGGTTGGGCTGTTGTGTCAAGTTACTCTTTTTGAAATTTAAATCAAAATTAAAAAGCAGTTTACTCCCCTTTGGTCATTTTTTTGTAAAATCATAAGGGAATCGATGACAAGTCACATAAAAGGTTCAGCATACAATCTTCATGTGAAGAATAATTATTGTCTACCAAGATCTGTCTGTCTGTCCGCCCGCTTAACTCAACTGGAAGACCATCGGATTTGTAATGCACAAATAGTTGGTTCGATCCTCGAGCCAGGCGGGATGTCTCGGTGACCACTGATATCATGTCATTTGTCCCTTACCAAAGGTTCTAGTCGGTCACTTAAAAAACCTCACTTGCAAAACAAAAAGCCTACAATGACACCGTAACCTCATATATTAATTGTTGTTCGTAGGAATATATACGTTTATAACAAGACACAGTATTCTATACTTACGGAGGATCATAGAAGCAGACGAAAAAGTCAGAATTGTTGAAAGTTTGTCCAGACTCTGTCCTTAAAGAAGGGCACATACTGAGTGCACAACCTATCCGCTCCGTGTTTCCCCATATCATCTGTAATTAGTAAGAAAATACACAGTAAGGCAACAATCACATTTGATAATGAGGAGTTATAAATGAGATCAAATTAATGACCTGCTAACTGTAAATGGTAAAGCTTCAGCAAACTTTGTAATGATCACGCCATGATCATGGGCAATTATTGCTTATCATTTGATGGCATATGTATTTTGTTGACTGTACCAACAGGTATATCATATGATGGTTTCTCTTATAAGAATATTGATATTAATTAATCATAAATACAAGTCTAGAAATGCGTGTGTACTTAGTGACACATGACTTTCTAATTTTAACAAGCAAAAGCACAAACAATTTATATTTCTGTCATTCGATCATTTGTAAGAAAACACATGCAATGTCATTCTTTTGTAGGAAGTGTGGGCGACTCTCACAATTTCTTTACAAATTAATACGAAAAATCTATATACATGTATATCCATGGAACAGTAACGTTATTTATATCATGATTAATTTAATACTTTTCTTACTTTGAGCGTGAACAATATGATACTTTAGATTTTTCATCACCACACCCTCTACTACAAATATATCATGTATGATTAATTTAAAGAGATCTTTTAACTAGATATCATGTATATGTATATATTTCTTAAACATTCACGGTTTCATTGTAAACATTTGGGAATGGTGATTATTAAACTCCTATATCGTGTCGCACATTGTCACAATGCCACAATTTTAACTACAGTGACATCATTGTTTATACTTCATCTGTCTGTTAAAAGAAATCATGTTACTTAACAAGTCAATGTCACATAACTTGTAATTATCTTTATTTCACGTGTACACTTTATTTCAAAATTAAGGAGCGTCCGTGGCCGAGAGGTTAATGCGATTGCCTTCAAAACGGATTTTTTCATGTGAGGAAGCTATCCAGCTAGCTTACAGAACGGCGGGTATCCGTTCGTGCCTGAAATAATGCCGAACGGAACATGACTTCACCCTCTACCAGTACGCTGGAGAGTCGCCATATGACCTATATCGTGTTGATGCGACTTAAACCCCCCCCCCCAGTTTTGGGATATTTCATTATTGATGCTTTAAAGTTTAATTCATAGCATGTGATCAGAAATAGAAACTTACAACAAAAAGTCATCGCAGAAAAGCATTCGCTGTTGTTTTGTTTTAAATAAGATTTAATCAAAATGCAACATTTTCTTATCAATAAGAACAATTTTAACTTAATATGATAGAAATTGCTTACAATTTAGCTTAAAAGTGATCACAAAGTTAACATGTTTTATTGAAGAAAGAAAAATACAATTACAATCATATAACATATATATTAAATTAAGTGAACGCCATCTTCTTTTATCTCTTTTTTTAATTAATTACTTCTATTTTTCATGAGTAAAAATTAAAAAAAAAAAGTGGATTGGTCTACAATGGGCACATTTTCCATAAGTATTTAAATTATATATAAAGCACTATTTATGTATAATTTGGATATTCTTATGAAGGATGTTTTAAAAAAAAGTTCTAACCAATTTAGTATGAATGCCGAATGAAAAATGCAATAAAAATTAAAATAATGAATGATAATTATTATCCGGTATATAAATGTATGTTTTTATCTTATCATGTATCTCACACTTGCCAACATTATCCAAATACAATTCTTTCGCGGTTGGTTGTTATGTTGGATACTAAATGCATCATATTTATTGCATTACAGACCTTCCATTATAGACCAATTCACTTTAATGTATACGTACATTTACATATGAGCCGCGTCACGACAAAACCAACATAATGGGTTTGCGACCAGCATGGATCCAGACCAGCCTGCGAATCCGCGCAGTCTGATCAGGATCCATGCTGTTCGCGATCAGCTTCTCTACTTGTTATAGGGTTTGTAAGCGAACAGCATGGATCCTGATCAGACTGCGCGGATGCGCAGGCTGGTCTGGATCCATGCTGGTCGCAAACCCATTATGTTGGTTTTGTCGTGACGCGGCTCATATAATGATAATAACAATTGATGTTAAGTATATTTATGTTGTTATATTTTTGTGTTGTCATACCTGTGTATAATGACATGCTACGCCACAATCAGTTGACCATTGCCAGTCGTGCACCTCTTTCCACCAATTCTGGCATGATTTAACAATGACTTCCATACTCGAAAAGGCGGGTCCGTTCGTCCAGAAATAAGCCAAATTCTCTCCTAATCCGTCCCGCTGGTGGTCCCAGAAACAATTCTCTGACCATTGCTCGGCTCGACCTTGAAGGTATGGATCCCATTGCTATGACAAAATAAAATAGCAAAAAGTTAAAGTGATATACATTACTGTTACATTTATTAATTACGCATTACTGAAATGAGTCGTCTGAACGTAATGATTTTATTGTTAAGATTTATATTGTAATACATTTTTTCAAGCAAATTTTGCTTATATTGAAATGCAAACATACTGACATCTTTTTTTCTTTGTTGTGGTTGTTTTTTTGTTCTAGCAAAATCATTTATAGTTTCAAAGTTTTATGCACAGGTGATAAGGAAAGCAGTTGAAGACAGCTTATGTCATATTTATGACATACTTCAGAAGGTTGTTATTTTGATCTTTTTGATCTTCTAGACTTATTAAACTCAACAAATTTGCATAGAAAGTGGTTTAAATTTACAACATCCTCTAGTGTGCAATACATTTGTCTTATTTAACACCAATATGTTTTCATAATGATTTATGGTATTCGGATATTATGAAGGAAGGAATGAAAGAAAAGAACAGGAATTTGCACAAAACAATACGAGAACAAAGACAATCCGAGACCTGTTGTACTATAAAAATACTATGAAATAACGATGAATAAATTCATGCTGGAAAATGACAGAATGATTAAGGATTAATGTCATTTCAATTAGATTATTGGCATATTGAAAACATCTACATGACTGCCACGTTTTTTGATTGGTTGATTATCTTTAACATACACATTGAATATATATTTGTAAATAAATACATGTTCAAAACATTCATAAGAATTTATCTACAGAAATGCATGATGATGGATATGACATAGTTACGTTATTACAAAAGTAAAATAATACTTGGTTTGAATGATGATTTGTCCTAACAGAAAAATAGACAGTATTTCCTTTATTTAAAAATGAGTAAATAAAGGTAATTTTTATATTTCATTTTTGATGTAGTTTCGTTACATTTTTAAATTTGTCTAAATTAGATCATGTATAAAAAAATTTGGTAAAAAGTGCTCTTAAAATAAAATAAAATAAAATAGAAATACTAATTAGAAATGTTATTCATTTTTATTTGTTTGGGTCATCAGACCGAAACAAATAATGTTAGCAGAATTTCAGACTATGATATCGTTACATGTAACTACCAAATTTGCAAATAGTCCGTCAGTATCAACTACCCGACAGACCCATTAATTTTCACACATTCTCAGAGAACAGAAAAATATAGTTCCCGATTGGTCAAAGATTTCTAAAATGGTGCAATTCTTTAAAATTTCAGCAAATTATCGGAAATATATTCAAATAATTTTTATTATAAAGACGTCAATTTTGTACTTTCAATTAAAAGGCGTTCGTTTATATAAAAAACGCATCAATTTGTCACGTGATCAAACCCCGCTGATTCAGCATTTGTTTCCAACCATTACCACAAATGAAAGATGATAATCTCTCAACCTTGACGGTTCTGATTGTAACATTTTATACATATTATATTGTTTTTATCTAAATTTCTAAAGCGATCTTCCTCTTTAGCTAATCTATGAACCAAACATCTAAATGTTCGCTATCGGTTTCTGTACATGTAATAGGGTGTGTAAGCGTAAAGCATGGATCCTGACCAGACTGCGCGGATGCGCAGGCTGGTCTGGATCCATGCTGGTCGCAAAGCCACTATGTTGGTTTTGTCGTGACGCGGCTCAAATGAATGCGCTTGCCCTAAGCGAAAAAGCAAAGTTTCAGAAATAACTAACCAATTCTTTCATATTTGCAGCTCGTTCATAACTTCTGTAGAAATTGTGGATGGTGGTAATAAATCCTTGGTATGCACTGATGTCCTTCAAAAGACCCTGCGTTAATGTTGCCAGAACCAGACACGATAAGCACGTGCTAATGTACAGCTCCATCTGAAATGATGATAATTATCAATTATCATTTACTAAAATTCATTTTCTAAAAGCATTATTGATAACAAAAATATTTTAAAGATAAATTTTATTAAATTTAAATTTAAACATTTTCAAAATAACATAATATAAATATTAAAAGTTGTTATAAATTTACTTTTCAAGAAATAAATTACCTTGTTTTTATTTTTTAACTATTCATAAGTAAAGTAATTTTCACTTGTTTGCACCTTAGGTTTTAAGTTTGACGCGTTCGGTCATCAAGGTTTTATACTATCAACATAATACGTCATAACAGGCCAGTCAAACTAAATCTGTAGTTTCAAAATTGTAAACTGTTTGCAAAAGAAAGAAATACATGTTAAACTATCGGCAATTGGATTTAAATGTCAGCATATTTTATGCATGATTTTTTCTTAGTCTTTTCAATAAACGACATCGATGTGTTATATTATCACAACTATATTTATTTATTAGTATAAGTAAGTTCTTCTCTTCCAAGTAAAACACTGCTGCCAACCTCTCAATAAACATTACATACACTATAAAACATGAATTCCTCAGTCTTACTATTTAGAGATTTTGGAAATAAATAGCGTATTCTCTGACGCCACCTTCAGCTATTTTATATTCATACATACAAATATTCAGGTACTTGATGCAAAAACATACAAATATTTACGTTCGGCCTTAATTCATAATTATTCTGAATAAAATCGCATTATTATTCAGAGTTTCACCATATATAATTGACACATTTTATGGTGTAACTGTTTTATTTGATATGAAACTTTAATGGGAATGCATACATCATTCACACAGGCATTAAGTGACACTTTTAATGCTTTGGATTTTTGTAATGATTTTATATCTATCACAACAATATACTTTGCACAGAGATTCTGAAGCAAAGAGTATACGAAGAATATAATAATATTTGCATCTGTCATACAATTTGCATTAAGATAATATCTTAAAAATAAGATTTTAAGTGCAAATAATTACAAAATGCAAATATATGGTTATCCTGAACAATGATTAATTGTATGCGTTTTTTGTAACGTTTTAGAAGGTAATAATTGTCTGATTAAAGTAAAAACAATAGTAAATAAAATCGTTTATTTTGTCCATGACCAGTGTATGAACCTTTATTTGTGTTTTTACGAGAGGTCATTGAGTTAATGCATTAGTTATGGAGAATCAATTTGCAATTTTTGCACACAAGATACTGCTTAGACCCAGAGATTATATAAAGCACGTTTAAATATTCAATGATATTTTCAAATAATTTTGCAGTTATTAATAATCAAGACATATACCGGCTGCACTTGATAACCTCTAGAAAAAGAGTTGTATTACGGCCGCCACACAGTAATTACAAGCCCTTGATGTGCTGAGTTATAATAGGTTGCTTTCTGTTTTTACGTATCTAATCAAAATTGATTAAAATACTTATTTTTTTATTCCGGTTTTATAAAATGAAATACATTTGATGATAGTTTGCTTCCATAAATGTCTCCATAATGGTGTTTTTGAGGGAATTGAGATACAATTTCATGAAGTAAAATCTTATATATCTTCTGAACATTTTAAAGATGTACTTAGAAAAAAAGTAAAAAATAAAGTGGCAACGCCCGTTAAAGAAAAAATATGATGTATATGTACATATAAAAAACTGGCAACGCCCATTAAAGAAAAAAATAATTTAGATTATACATATAAAAAAGAAAAGCTAAAATAATATAAGAACAAAAGTAGAATTGCAGGATGCTTTGACAGTTTATTTTTTGTTTTTCAAGGGCACAAAATGACAAACAATCATGTAGAGTTTCTATATATTTCCCAAATTCTGAAACATAAACTTTTAAACCTTAGCATATCTCGTCTAATCCCCGCAATCAGAGGACCGAATTCTTTAATTTCATCTTCTTATATATCAAGTTCTGAAAGATAGACAAGGTTTTATCCCTCAATCATCCGTAAGCGAAATTTCATCTCATATAATATCATATTAAACACCAAAATTATCTCGAAATTTATGGAATGTAATTACGGCCTAGCTTCAAACCATAATAAGACATGATGTGCTTGTAGTTTATATAAAAATTCACCAAGTGTGGATCATTTATGCAGATTGGAACGTCATCCTCGTTTGTAGAACTAACCGCCTTTTGTCATAGTCGTTATATTCATGCAATATATATGAATATCAGAAAGCCACATTTGGTTAATTTGTTTCTCTGGATGAATGGCATTAGTTATTATTTTTACAGATTTGATTGTTGTTCCCCCAATTATCCTACCCCCATACTAACAATAAAATAATGGAACTCGTTGCAAATATATACAAGTGGTCATATCAGTGTTGGTTCATAGTCAGACGTCGGCAAAGAACTAAATTCACTTTTAATAAGAACAAAAAGGGTTACATTTTCTGAAAAGTAAATTAATTTTAGAAGTTTAAAAAACGGTCTGGAATTTAAATAGTGTAAGTGAAATTTTACTTACTAATTTTATAACTTACTAAGAACTTAAATAAAAATGCGTTATAAAACTATTTGAGTAGAGATGTAAAATAATTATTTTAAGAAAATCGGTTAAATCTATAAAATAAACAAAACACATTATATGGGCGTTTTAAATATATTTTAGTGGTTCAAATTTAAAATTTCAAAGATATAGAGTAAAGTTTGACATGACAGGTTCCAAAACTTTCGATCATTTAAGTTATAACTTGTGTGCAAAACTTCATATCTTTCGCTCACTTATTTTTTCTAGAATAACCATTTATCTCCATGCTTTTTGCATATATTTTCTGTTTGATGTGTGTAAAATTTTTGTTTTGTTTTTGTTTAACATATTTCATATCACTCGATAAATTTTATAATAATCTTTTTTTACTATCCTATAGCAAAAAATGCAATTATACATTTTCTTTTTTCAATTTTTCCTATTTTTAGCTACCGTCATATGTAACATTTCTTGCAGCTGTAATCATATTAGTCATAAAGTTGGTTTAAATGATTGTAACAAGTCAATTTTGTCAATTTTGTCATAATCCTTAAATGACGAAGAAGCTTTTAGTATTTTATAATAGCTTAAACTGAAAATGAATTGATTTCCGCCATATGAATTCATCTGCGCATATTTCTAAATTCAAAATTTAACCATTTTCATGTTTAAATGATGAATTCTGCATAAGCCGGTGCTAGAGGGTGTGAACTGTAGTTTGGACTTTCCAATACCGTCCATGAACAGACTCAATCAAACAGAGTTTGCTTCATTTTTAATTTGGCTTTTTGAGATTTCCTAAGCGTTTTCGTTTTTCACTAATATAGCATTTTGTATCACTACATTTTTACGACATAAAAAGTTTAGATAGCAAAAGAATAATTTGTTTTATCTTTGTGTCATCTAGACTTATATTTGTAACGAGCCTTGAATACTGATAAGGCCGAAGTTTAGGACATTATACATGTTTAACATTCAATCCTTTTTTCGCCTCAAAATAGGGTTTTACGGTTCGGTCGATCGAACTGAAATACAATACAAAAGCACATAAAACATGTTATGTTTATAATTTGTTCGGTTAAACGAGCATAAAAAATCAGATAAAAATTCTGTAAAAGAATTCCTGTATAAGACATTTTGTTAAAGCATATTTCATTAGATAGAAAAAAACATGTTATATCCAATGGAATTATAAAATTGACACTTGTTCGGTCGATTGAACAAAAAATGCTACACAAAAGCACATTTTACTAGATAGAAAAAACATGTCACATCCAATGGAGTGGTGCTGTGAGTAATGCATATTACACACGTTTTCTTCTCCGTTAATGTACACCTGTGTGCGCAGTTGTAACACATAATTTATCTCAAGAATTAAAAAATGTACATGGTCAGATGATGTTTGCATGTTATTAAAATTCCTGTATCAATGAACAGAATCGAAAACTGACATTTTTTTTCCAAATTTTGTTGTTTAAGGATTATTTGTAAAAGGCTAGCAATTGTGCTAGTGGTCACTTATTTAAATACGATTGTGGATATATTCTACTAAATCACAACAATATACATCTTTTTTAGCAGGATATTTTTCAAAATTGTATTCTCATTCTGGTCCTTCGGGATCGTTGACTAAAATACATTGAGTTGATAATTGATAAACTATACAGCCCGTGCTCGGAGCCCAAGAAATGTATGAATCACCTTTTCAATTACCTCGCATGAGCAGACCCATTTAAACCAAGCATGTGCTTCTAAATATTTTGTTTGTTTCTACAGTGATCTTGCAAGATCTCCCATATTTAGGATTTGTATATTATCAGCATATTTAATTGTTTCAGGAAGATGAAGGTTAGGTTCACGTTGGTTTTGTTTGTAACGATGTTCCTCTTGGTGTCATCCTATCCTTTCAACGAGATATCCGTACCTTCTATAGACGATGTCGAGAGCAACGAAATATGTTCTATGGAGCACTGCGATTGGGAACTGGGCAACTGTGACCTTACGTGTACAATAAATTATGGCAAACATAAAACTGGACATGCCGGTCGAATGTTCCACAGCTGCCTAGCAACTTGCGGGAATAATTACTTAAGGTGTACGGTTGCTTGCTTATAAATAGTTTTTTTTTCACAAAAAGATGATTATCTGTGTATGCTATTTTGTAGGGTATGAATTGAAAAGACATGTAAAATATATAATACGTTGGCTACAATTTGGTCACATCACTAACAGTTTGATGAGAATAGTTATGTGAATTATTGATTGATATATATATAGCTTTATGACGAAAAAATGAAAATGTATAGAATTTACTTTATTTTGTTGATTTATTCATTATTGATATTATACATTAAATGGAACCCATAACAAAAGTTTGAAAATTTAAGAATATGTAATGTAAACGACTCAGTAGATCTCGCCCTGTGAAGCAATAACACATAAAGCTTTGATTACTTAGATAAAAATGTTATGTATCTTACTATCCTTATAAATTGCACTGCTCTTTTCATTTTCCAGTATATTTCTTTTTAATGATATCCAAGAATATTTTGAATGGATTGACGTTAATTTCTTTAAATTACATAAGCTTATTTACGTACTTTTTGCTATAAATAAAGTGCCTCAAAAGTTACATGGCGTGACATCTGAAAACATATTATTGCACTAATTAACTATTAACTTAAAATGTACTAGATATTATGCGCTAATTACCACATATAGACGACACCAAGTGTGATCTTTGTTAGGGATTGTGTTTAGTAAATATCACGTTCCCTTGTTAGTCTTTTCACTAATCCTACGTCTAAAAATAATTTCCCCAGAGAATTCATAACGTGATATAGCCAGCGTCATTTACGTATTTGTTTTTCTATCTGTTATAACGATCTCGAGACAGATTTGAAGAGGGGTTTTAACTAATGCAGTTGTTGCTACATGTCATCAGTAAGACTTACTGTTACGTATTGATAATGATTTAAAACACTTATTTGAACAGATTGAATTTTTTTCTACGCAATATTTTTTAAGGCTACCGAAACGAAAGGTTTTCTTTGACGCAACTTCACTGGAACGACAAACAACTCTCTGAAAAAAATGGTGTTTTCTAATAATTATCCAAAAAGTATATTAAATCATTTTTCAGCTGTTGACTGTTTCATTTATTGTGATATTTCTTGCAATCCATTTGCGACAGACATGGATGTTGTAGTCACGCTGAAAATATGAAAGTAAAATTTAACATGGATCAGCAACATTTATAACACAAAGCCGCAAGCAAATTCCAGTAACACAGACATAGTTATAACGCACACTTGTGGGCACCGCACTTGGATGGTGCCAACATTTTTATGGTGTGGACAAACATTAAGATACCATACGGTGGCGGAGCTACAAATTGAAAGTTGGGAACACACATGAGGGTGCCGTAAGGTGACGAGACTACAAATTGAATGGTGAAGACACACATTAGGGCTAGGCACAGTGAGAGGCGATAAATCTTATGGCAACGACAATGGCGCAAAAGCTGGACAGAAAGCCTTTTTGAAACTGATGAAAAGTTGGTTAAAGCCAATCCGCCATGTTTTTCTTTTATAAAGATAATAGCCACTTAAAACATTTAACATAAAAAATAAAGGGCACTAGGACAAAAAATAAAGATTGACACACAACAGTTAAATTTCAAAAACGCTAAAATCTAAAATATGATAAACAAGAGCAACAAGGAAAAGCGGCGTTCAATGAACGCAACACCCATACGACCTAGCAACAAGAACCAGTGGCAAGGAGCCCCGGCGGACCCCAAACAAAAACAGGACAGGGCACGGACAAGTTAATTACTAAAATGATAAATATTTTGTAACTGATAAGGAATTCAAAGAAAACAAATAAATGATTGAATAATAGGAAATACTTTTTAACTGCTAAAACATAAAAATAGATCAAATTATTCAATGCTAATAATTTTTTCAAATGTCTTTTGTCAAGGAATGTTAATATCTTAAATGTATGTGAGTGTTAAAGTTAACAAGGGTTAAGACCCAATAGAAAGAGCAATGGTACACATTCTACAAATGTTATCAGTTTGAAAATAGTCACACTTTTAGGTATTTCAATAAAGATCATGCCATCGTTGATTTTTGTGTTAGTTCTAAAGTATGTAAAATAAAAAACTATGTCTACCGGATGATGATTAAATGTCATTGAATGTATTCTTAGATATCTAAATCTAATATATACATGAACATGGTTTAAGTTAACAAATAAAATATCACGAATTGATGATAAATGTCACAATCACATCCCATGGAATACAATATACGTATACATTTTATTCTCACGTTGAATTTAAACTGAAGTCTTTTCATGTGTTATTCAAGAGTACCGTGTTATAGCGTTAATCTGCCGAATCATGTGTTAGTATTTCATGCGGAAGATTGTATAAAAAACATCATCGAAATTAGTTTTGTAACACAAATCTTGGCACGAAGTGACACCATAATCAATAAAAAGGAAGCTGTATATATAGGTATATAATACCTATGACTTAATTAAGATGAAAAACATATATTTATCTCTCTAATTTCATTTATTCAATATAAGGCACTTAACTTAATTATATATTAATACATTTGAAACAAAATCCGTTCATAAGATATGATCTTTCAGTTATTTTGACACGTTTCAGAAATGCTTGATATGTTTTATTCATGGGCCTTAATGGCAATGGATTAAATGAAATATCTGAACTTTGTAAAGCATTATTATCATCATTCCTGTTAGTATATTTACGAGATATTATTTACTATATAGATATGTAATTGAATTTTAGAACACATGCTCACTTTTACGTAAGTGATTTGTTCACTTTTCTTAGTACTTTATCCCTTCTTTTTCTTATATATTTATATAAAGAACTAAAACTAATTACAAACACACGATATCAGAAATTCGTTCTGGTTCCTCCTACAAAACAATTTCATATAAATCAGATAGAATTAGGTCAATGAAGGAACCAGCGATAATAACAAAATTAATCGGACTGTTATTGATGCTATAAACAATTAAACGTTAACTTCTTACATGGATCCCAAACTGTCTATCTAATCGTAAACAATCCGTTTTTGTTGGTCCTGAATGTTCTGAAATGCTAAATATAGCAGCGGGTGTTGGAACTTGGTCCTCTTTATTTCTTATATTTCAACGATTTTATTTCTTATATGTCAACGATATTGCTGAAAATCTTCTCAGCGTAACAAAACTTTTTGCTGACAATAGCCTTAATCTGTTTCCTCTTACGATGTAAAATACATGTACATAGAAAGTACTCTTAATTCCGACCTTGAAACTATAAATAAAAGGTCTAAACAATTAATTGACTAATTTTAACCCAAATAAAACAGAAGTTATGTTTTTCACCTTGAATCATGGAATAAAGCCTTTGTTGATGACATCTCACTAAATTTCGTGGATAATCAGAAACACTTATGCTTAACTCTTTCATGTGATTTGAAATAATAACATATTAATAACATTTCAGCTTCGGCCTCAAAATTAGGCTCTATGCGTGCATTAAAATTCCAACTCAAAACAGCTACTTTAAACCAAATTTATATATCTTACATACAGGAGTATGCATCAACTATTTTAGGTCGGTGTGCTGCATATGAAAAACAATCATTAATCAATTACAATACGAAGCCGCTAGAATTATTATTGGTGCTATTTGGTCAGTATCAATAGATTGCTTGATCACAGAAGTCGGTTGGGTGTCACTGCCTGATAGGCGAACATTTAAAAAAATTGTTATTGTTTATCAAGCTAAAATTGTTAACTACCGAATTATTTATCTTTTTTATTGCTTTCACCAACAGTATCAGAAACTACTCTTAATCCTTGACGAAATAATAACAATTATATTACTGTAGCAATGCGCACTCAATTATATTATGTATCTCTTTTACCATACTCCTTGGAATTATGGAATAACCTTGACCCCGATATACGAAATTCTCCAACACTCGACATGCTTAAATCTAGACTTAAAAATATGTTTAAAGCATCAACGGTTCCGAACCTTTTTTCTCATGGCCAGAGATACTTATTAATATTGCAAACACGTTTAAGAAATAATTGCAGTAATTCAAATTACGAAACATAAATACAAAATGTAATAACCATTTGTGATATTGTGATTGAAAATGACGAGCATTTTTATTCCAAATATAATCGTTAAGTCAAACAACGAGTAATACTCTATCTTATCATCCATTAAACACTGACGCATTACTGTTTGGTCATGAAAATTTGGCATATGAAGACAAAGTTATCATTTTCGAATCAATTCAAAAATTTAAGACGACCCATCCTTTTGACATCAATTGACTTTTCACATTGTTTTTGTTTTCGTTCCAAGGTTTTTCCTTTATCTAGGCAACTTTGCTTTAATCTAACGTACTTAAATGACAAACATTCACAAACCCTCATTCCTTAAAAACCAAAATACAATTCAGCTAATCATCACTGCTCAAGAGAGATCAGGATGGTAACCTGTGGATGGATAGCACTTTAATATCAAAATTGTACATTTAATGATTAAATAACTGTTAAAAAATTAAATACATATTTGTAAGTTTATATACATGTTAAAAGTAATCATTGTAGTCCTAAAAGTAATTTTCTATAATATTAAGTCTGGGAAGGGTTTTATCTTATGTTGCTAGAACTTGTTGCCCAACCCATTTGCATTTTGTTATATTCATCATTTGTATAATATTTGACATGTATTTGATGCAATAAAATATGTTTAAGCTAATTAAACATTACGTTCCCAGACTGCGCTTATATGTTTATTAAAGGTATTAGATAAGTAACAGCGTACTTTTAAATCTGTAAAATGAATAACGTAGTACTATTACTAACACTATTGAAATGCTACGTCAATCTTCATGATTAAATACTGTTAACATATTATTAACCTGTTTATTATAACTATGGAGCATATTAAAAATAGTAAATGTCATGTTAATCAAGTTGACTGAAAATGTTAAATGTCAAATGAATGATGAAATTCATTTAAATTACCAATCGACGTGAAAAAAGGTTAAAATCTTTTCACATAATATGGCATCCACCACATTATATACTGACAACATTAAACAGGCGAGATTTTTGTCCTCTTGTTTTTTTTTAAATTGAAAGTTTTAAAAAGACACTGAAACAAAAATAAATAGATAAACACGCAGTAGATAAAATACTGTGAATATGAGACTTAAGATGTGTGTAGTTCTTAATTTACCAGGCGTTTTATATCTATATTCTACAATAGCCTTCTTGTGTTAGTCGTCTTTTTATTTAACACAGTTAGTGACTAGATATTTTAAGGATTTAAATAAATGATTTATAAGGTTTTGTATCTCAGGACAGTGTCATGCACGACCCTTAAAGCGTATATCAACAACTTTATTTCTTTGTAATTGCCTATGTAATAAAGATATGTATATATAGTTGAATCAATTGCTATTTTCTTTTCCATAGAAGCTGGAACTTTGTTTTTCATTCCATCCCTTCCAAATAACAAAGTTCTATCGTATTTACAACTTGTTCCATTATCCCCTTGTGATTGGTTATAAGTAGAAAACAATTATAAATGAGGAATACTAAGAATTGTTCCTTTTATTGTCACATATGTGTTAGGTGTATTAATATCATGTTCCAATGTCGTACTATGTATAGATTATTTCATGATAATTCATAATATCTCTTGTGTTTCCAATATATAG